CACTCCAAACAAGGCCTTACCAGATGCTAATCCTTTATTTCAGAAGGGCTAATTGCTGCCTTATACTGCTGTAACATCTGTGGATAAAATGCACACAGCACCATTAGGAGTTAGGTTTTGCCTTTCTGAGAGGAGTGCTGTGTTAGGCACTAAGTATATGAGGATAAGACAAAGTCACCCTGCCTGTAGTTTAGAGTCAGGTAAGGAGATAAGATGTATACACAAGAATAAACATTAGCCCAAGATGGTGAGAGCCAAGCACCCACTAAGGAAGTTCTGGGTTAAAAGGCAGGGAATCCTATAAACAGAATTAATATTAATGGAGTGGCTGCCAATGTATTTTCTTATTTAAATCCTCCCAAGGGTTCCATGGGGTTATGCTATCCTCTTTTCGGATAGGAGGAATCTTCAGCTCATAAAGTGTAATTTGCCCAAAAAAAATCAAACACAGAGCTTGTGCAGGCTCCTTCCACTGCATTGTGTTGTTCCCCACAATTAAAAGTTTGTGTTTGGCCAGGCGCTGTGGCTCACGCCTATAATCCTAGCACTTTGGGAGGCTGAGGCAGGAGGATCACTTGAGCTCAGGAGTTGGAGGTTGCAGTGAGCTGTGAAGACATCACTGCACTCTAGCCAGGGCAACAGAGTGAGATCCTGTCTCAAAAAAAAAAAAAAAGTGTTTTCAGTAGCTGCTCTCTTCAAAGTCCTTCCCTCCTGACGAGGGGTTACTGTTGCAGTGCCCTCAGAGCTACCAAACACTCCCTGCGTCTGCCACCAGTCACATGCAGGTTTAACTGCTTTATCTTCACTGAACCGAAAGGGATTGATGTAATTAAGCTTTTCTTTCTGTGACTTAACTCTTACTAAGTTCAGCGGACCTTTGGTTTCTGTTAAGATACTTTGGGGTGTTGATTCTACCATTGCCATTTTAATGGGTCAAAGCTGTGCCATTTTACTGATTGAGCCTCAACTGGAAGTGAACCTCCTTTGGTGTTCCTTACAGGAAAGGTGAGATTTAAATGGGACTTAAAGGTGGAAGAAGAATTAAGTCCTCTCATTGTTTAGAGACACCTTTTGAGATTAACTGGAATTACTGGAAAGTTAAAAGCTACACTGACATACAAGTTGGAGTTTTACAATACAAATAAGAGCATAGTTTATTACTCTATTACTAATTTATAGGAGTTATGTTACAATAGTGATTATTGATAATGGTATAATCAAAGCTTGATGTGATGGTTGTTTTTTTAAAATACCTCCCTCCTGAGTCGATTGGCATTTCAAATGTTTTTAAATAGTTGCCAACATTTAATGCTATATTCAAATCACATGATTAACTGTCAGTATGTTCCTTGTGTGAAAAAAGTTTATTTGAGCTGAGTGTTTATTATCTTCACTTTAGACAGTTTTAACAAGAAGGGAATAAAAAAGAGTTTGGCAAGAACACGGGCTCCTGCCTTATGTAAGCTGGCTTCCATCCCACTTCCTGTGGGCAGAGCAGAAAATGGAAGGGAGAAAAATGGGGGTGCTAAACCCCTGCCCACGACTCCAAATAGAAAGGAGGAGAAAGCCATCGTGCTTATGAGCCAGTGAAAGAAACGAACAGCCATATGTGTGTTGTAAGGCCACAATTTTTGCCCATCATGCTCCCGTGCCTCTGACAACTTGCTCATCTTTGATCCTCACATGTTCTTCTAGAAAGAGTTGTAGTTTATCCTGGGTAGAGCCATGCAGCCTTCATAGTCAAGAAATGAAACCAACACCTGTCTACCTTTTGGAATTTCATTGCTGAAATGCCCAGTCATATAGGTATGTACAAGATCCTGTAGGACACAGGAGCCACAAGGAATATGTTGTATGAATTTATCTGAATGACTAAATCCGTCATCCTCCTCCATCCTGGAGAGGATGTCTTAGCACTAGCAGGGCCCATGGCCTCAGCATGAAAAGAGGTTTTGTTGTTGTTTTTGTTGTTCTTGATTTTAAATCTGAGTTTTATTGTTTGCTCTCTATATTTTCCAAAATTCCTAAATGGTTATCATAACTTTATTTTCAATGTTTTTCCCTTTTCCTTTATCTTAGAGGAAAAAGAGTGTTGGAAATGGGAAGGCTTTGAAGAATAACTAAGAATTAAGTGTTGCATTTCTTGTTGAACCTCTCTCACTACATAATTTCTACTGGCGAAGAAAAGAGGAGGAACATTCCAGGCAGAGTGATTGATAAGCAAAAAACCAAGTTCATGACATGGAAAGAATGGTGGAAATAAAGCTCAAAAAGGTTGTTTGGGGACAAATCCTGAAGGCTCTGGGATACCATTAGAGTTGGAGTTCAGACTTTGTTCCATGGGTGGGAGGGAGCTTCCCAAGGCTTCGAGAGAAAAGAGACATGATCACATTTATTTTTTAAGTTAGTGACTTTTGTATTAGTGTAGAGGATGGATTGGGAAGGATCCCAGGATACCAGTTAGGAGGCAGTTTAAGTGCTGTAGGAGAGACGGTGGCCCCAATTAAGGCAGTCTTAGAATAAATGGGCCATACTGGAAAAATTATGTTAGAGAAAGTATTCATGAGACTTAGTCTTGCAAAGGGCAGAAGGATATTTGTCACTTGGAGAAAAAAATGACTGAATTGTGAGCCTGAGATAAAAAGAGTACCATTAATGAAGAAGGGATTCACTAGAGGAGAGAGATTTAGTAGGTTTTGTGTTAAATTTGTTGAATCTTGTAACATCCAAATGAAAGTGTCCAGAGAGCTAGAGTTTGGGGATTGGAGCTCAGAAAAAAGGTTGGGACTGAAGATAAATATTTGGAAGTCATCAGCAGTCAAGATAGGTGAGATTTCAGACATGGATAAACTTGCCTATAGGGAGAGTATAGCATGGAAGAAGAGACAGCCCAGGATAGAACCTTGTAGTTGAGGAGTTGCCAGGAAAGAGACTGAGAAAGCACCATCTGAGCTAGAAGGACCACACTGCAGAAGACAAGAAGGATATTATTCAGGAAGTAGCAGTTTTTTAGGAAGACCGTTTAAAGGAAACATTAAGTTTTATTCATAAAGAATTCACCAGTGGCCTTTTGAGAAGGCAGTTTCCAAGGAAGGAGAGGCAGGAATGAGATCCTAGTGGTTGAGGCTTGGATGGGAGGCAAGGAGGTATAAATGGAGTTCAAAAACTGCTCTTGGAAAAGATTTTGCAGTGAAGGAAAGAAGAGAAATGTAGCTTGAAGGGGAAACACTTTTATCTGTCTAGGTCATTAGTTTGCAAAGCACTTTTACATCCATTGGCTCACTTGGTTCCCCAGACAACTTTAGAAGATAGGAAGGACAAGTATTGATACTCCTAGGAGCAAAGTGAGATTAAAAAAAAGTGAAAAGACTTGCCCAAGTTCATTTCTAGCAAATAAGCGGAAGAGCTGAGTTCAGGTTTAAGGTCATTTAACATTTAATATGATCATCTTTCCAGTGTGCCAAAACGGAACATTTCTGAAGTGTTTGCTGTATTTGGATATTGGATACTAGAGGGCATTGAGCTCCTTGTTCAAGGGTTTTGACCTTGTCCAGGGTACAATGGGGAGCTACTGGAAGGTTTTGTGCTAGGGAATGCTATGTTAAAGTCAATGCCCGATGGAAACAAATCCAGCAGCAAAGTGTAGAATGTGTTAGTGGAACAGACACCTCTCAGGGGGGTAGACAATTAGGATGTGGCTTCAAACTGGGACACAGCTTTAAATACACACCCAATCACAGAATCGAGTGCTCAGATGGAAGCTGCCTTGCATCCTCCCAGCACATGTGCCTTTGCTTTAAGTGTAGCAAATTCTCTGACGTGTAGTGAAGAAACAAGTTGAACATACTAGCTAAGCATGCCCAGCATGCTGAGAAGGTTATTTCCCTTTCAGTTCTCCAGATGCTATTCTGTTTGTGTTTAGGAGGAAGTCACAGTTTGCCAGTGTATTTTTAATACCCCTAAGATACTCTCTAATCTCCTTTTTGAACAAGGAAAGAACAGGTCTCAGGCTGGGAACATTTGCAAACAAATTGGTATCGCCCTAGAACTGGATCATGCTTTGTGTTCACTCTGTTTTTATAGTTACTTTCTACTTTTGACAAGTAGCACTGGTTTCTCATTTATTGTAATTACAGAAAGTTTACTCTTAAATACAACTAAGTAAAAAAGTCAAATTAAGGAAAAATATTTCCAACTCTAAGACCAGAGGTACACATCTATGGGGAAATACCTATAAACATGTTTTCTAATGACTAAAGTGTGGGAAATTCTGGCCTTGGATACTATTGCAAAAGAAGTAATGAGGGTTTAGATCAGGGTAGGGTGATGGCAGTGTGAATGGAGAAGAAAAGAAGACTCTGATAGACATTTTAAGGGAGTTAAAGGAGAGGGGGCAGTTGTCTCTTTGTAATATTTTCTACGCCATTTCTCAGGATGCTTTTGGCTGCAATAATGGAAAACCAAAAAGGCTTATGCAACACAATGAATTTATTATGTCATATAATAAGAAGCCCTGAGGTAGAGTGGCTCCAGGATTGCTCAAATCAGTGGTTCATTAATATCACTAAGCACTCAGCTTCCATCCGTCTTCCAACCTCAGCAAAGAGGCTTTGTCCTCATGGTGCCAAGATGGCTGACATGGTTCCGGGAATCCCATCACAACATATGTTTTCAGTGCACGAAGAAGACATCTCTTCCTGATCTGAAGAGTAAAGTGTGAAGAAACCTTTCCCTGAAGGCACTTCCACCAAAACATTTTCCTTCAGGATTCGCTAGACAAAAACATGTCACAAGATTGTGCTCAACCAATCACTGCCAAAGGGAAGGAGATTACCATAACTAATCTAAATGAAATAGGATTTAGTCTCTGAGCTAGGCATAGAGATCCTTTCTCTGAAGGATAAAGCTCTCAAGATATAGGGGCTCTGTTAACAAGTATAGCTGGTAGGTAGTCAAACATTTCTTTCAGAATTACTATGGAAAGCTGCAGGTATTGTACAAATACCAGTGGTGCTGAAATCCTTGAATTCACCTTTGAACATACGTGGTAAGTTCTTGAGGCTTGTGGTTTTTTATTTCTAAAAATTTTATTTAGCTCTTCTGTCCATGTGTTGGATTAAGGCAGAACGAAATACTTCCACTGCAAAGTCAACTTCTGGTTTAGTGATACACATTGGGGGAGCAATGCGAAATGTCTGAGGAGACAAAGGAAAATAGAGCAATGAATCATCAGAGAGGCAACTGACTTTGAGGAAATGCACTACACTAAGAATCCTTAACCTCGTTTTATGACATTTCTTATATTCCTCTCCTTGGATTGGCTCTTCCTCCCTCCCCAGTGCTGTATCCAGGCCATTCATCCTCCAGTCTCCAGACAAGTCCTTGTACCGTCTGACTCTGCCCCTTTCCTTTCCATCATCTGTTTACCTCCTGGTCCTTCTACTGCCTTTACTGAGGTCACAGGCCCTCTCTACACTCCGTTTCTGCCATCACCAAGGGTGACCTCCATGTCCATGTGTGCAACCCAACAAACTCGCCTCTCACTTTTCTGATTGCCGTAGCTCATCCATTAATACTCACAGCCAACATCATGAGCCTTCTTGCTCTAGTTTTGGATATTTGGCTTTCCAAACCTCATGTTGAAATTTGAACCCCAGTGTTGGAGGTGGGAACTAATTAGAGGTGTTTGGGTCATGGGGGCAGATCCCTCATAAATGGCTTAGTGCAGTCCTTGTGGTAGTGAGTGAGTTCTCACTCTGTTAGTTCTCACAAGAGCTGGGCATTAAAAAGACCCTGGCACCTCCCTCCCCCTTCTTTCTTGCTGCTGCTCTCTTGCCACGTGACCTCCACACATGTCAGCTCTCCTTTTCCTTCCACCATGAGTAGAAGTAGCCTGAGGCCCTCACCAGAAGCAGGTGCCAGTGCCATGATTCTTGTACAGGCTGCAGAACTGTGAGTCAAGTAAACCTCTTTTCTTTATTAATTATCCAGCCTCAGGTATTCCTTTGTAGCAACACAAACAGACCAAGACACTCCTCTTCACCATGAAGATCCCAATTTCTGATTCCCACTGCATCCACCTTCTTCATGAACACTTCAATCCTCTCATTCCACCATTGTCTTCAGGTCTATTGTCTGACTCACATGTCTCCCTTCTTTTCCTACCCACCTTGGAGCACATAGTTAACTGTACTACTTTCTTATCCGCCCCCTCATTTTGATTAGATCCACCCTTCTGCTGCTGCACACACATGGCCAAGTCCCAGCGCTGATCAGTACTAGAACTGAACCACTTTGCTCCAATCCAGATGGCTGAGAAGTATTAGAGAAAATCACACAGCTGTGCTGGCTGACACGACTAGGTATTCAGGGTCTCAAACTTCTGCTGGTCCCCTCAATTTTTCTTGTCCTCTGTCAGCTTCCTTTCTCTTCCTAAACCTTTATCATTCTTCTCAATTTCCTTGCTCAACTCCTACGCCTCTCACGCTATTTCATAGATGATCATGCCTCATCCTTCTCAGAGAAAATTGAAGCTTTTAGGAAAGATCTTTCTATAAACTTGTTTGCTCTCACATCCATTTTTATATCCTTTCCTGAAGGCTCAGAGAATGAGATGTCTTTACTGTTCAACTCTAAACTGTCCACCCCTGCACTTGACCTTGGATACTCCTATCACCTTCACGCCAGAAAAAACTCCTGCATTCTCTTGCATTGCCAACTTTTCTTCAACTTCCCCTCAGCCTTTAAACAAGCAGTTGTAAAGCTCTCACAACCCCAGTCCAAACCACAGCAAATACAAACCTGTGTCAATCCCTGGTTCCCTCTAGCTACCGTACAATGCTACCTATCCTCCTACTTGTAGCTGCACTTACTAAAAGGACTGGTTGATGCTTATTGGCCATTATTTCTCACTCCACCCTCCCCTTATTCACATCTCAACCCATGGCAGTCTGGCGTCTGCCCCTGCCAGCCTCTGACCCCATTCTAGAAAAGTTGCCTGCTAAGTGCGGAATCCACTGGGCATCTTTTCAGCCCTCATCCGTCCTGGCCTTCTGTGCTGCACTTGACACTTAGGACCCTTTCTCTTCTGAACGTCTCCACTCTCTTGCTTCCATGACTCCACAGTCTTCTTACTCTGCTTATACCTGTCTGCCCCATCTGTCTCTGCCTGGGCACCTTTTCCTTCTCCTGCCCATTGGTTGTAGGTGTTATGCCAGTTTCTGTCCTCACCTCACTGCAGTTCTCATCTAGACAGGAGACTTCCCAGGAGATTTCCTTGTGTGCTAATGAACCCCACATCGGTGTTCACCTATGCCCTGTCCTTTGAGCTACAGACTTGTGAAGATGGTTCCTGACTTAAGATTTTTCAACTTTACAATGCAGGAAAGCGATGAACGTTCAGTAGAAACTGTGTGTTGAGTATCAATACAACCATTCTGTTTTTCACTTTCAATACGATATTTAATAAATGACATGAGACAGTCAACACTTTATTATAAAAATAATAATTTCCTTGAAAGATTTTGCCCAACTGTAGGCTAATTTAAGTGTTCTGAGCGCATTTAAGATAGGCTAGGCTAAGCTACAATGTTCAGTATGTTAGGGGTATTAAGTGCATTTCTGACTTAGGATATTTCCAACTTAGGATGGGCTTATCAAGATGTAACCCCATAAGTCAAGGAGCATCTGTAGATAGAACCAGGTGTTCATAAATACCTCAAATGGTGCATGCTCAAACAAAGCTGAACTCATTCTTGCTCCCCCTACACCAAGTTAGACATGAGAGTTTCATCCTTGATTCTCTCTCATTTTTCATATCCAGGTTTTGTGCATTTTACTTCCAGGATTGTCCTCAGAAGGTCTCCTTTATCCCTACTACCACTGCTCAAGTTCAAACAGCATCCTCAGCCCCCACCCAGCCTCCCTGCCTCCAATCTTGTCCCCTTGGGTTTACGCTCCTCAGAGGACAGATTCAGAAATCAGACTGCCTGAGTTTGGATCCTGATTCTGCTGCTTAACTAACCTCTCAGTGCCTCTTTTTCTTAAGCTATAAAATAAGGATAATAATAGTACTTATTTCATAGTTGAGAGCATTAAGTGAGTCAACACATGCAAAGTGTTTGGAACAGTGCCTGACAAGTGGTAAGGGCTTATTACCCCCAGTCACTGCCACAAGCCTTTGGGCTGCCACACTGTGCGGTGTGGGGTGCATCATTAGCTCTTTCAACTCTGCCATATTTCCACACACACTTTGACTCTGCTAGCCAGAAAGGCTGGTCTGGGAGTCCCTTCTCTCTCCTATAATATCCCTTTTTATATTTATAGATGAGCTTACTACATTGCATTGTGACTTATGTGTATTAGTCTTTTTCTCTCACCAGCTCCATGAAGGGAGGGACCAGATCTTATTTATCATTGTAGTTTCAGTTCCCAGCATAACACCTGCTGCTTAGCACATAATGAATGTTTGCCAGGTAACAAAGGAATAGCTAAGCGAGTAAATAATTATTTTAGAAGTTTCGTAAGTATAAGTTGCATGCTTTAGGATTTCTTTTTTTTTTTTGAGACAGGGTCTTGCTCTGTTGCTCAGGCTAGAGTGCAGTGACATCATCATAGCTCACTCCTAGCTCACTCCTGGGCTCAAGCGATCCTCCTGCTTCAGCCTCCCAAGTATCTGGGACTACAGGTGTGTGCCACCATGCCCAGCTAATTTTTCTGTTTTTTTGTAGAGATGCAGGTCTCGCTATGTTGCTCAGCCTGGTCTTGAAATCCTGGCCTCAAGCAATCATCCCACTTTGGCCTCCCAAGGTGCTGGGATTACAGACATGAGCCACCACACCCAGCCAAGGATTCTTAATCATTTACTTATGCTGTCTGATTTGTACAGAAACATATTTATGGCCAGGACTAGAACAAACTCACAGGGCATGTCCCAGCAAAAGTGCTCATTCTGGTTTTGTTTATCTAGTTTGGTCTGGGCCAGGAGAGCGTTAAGTCTATCTGTTTCAAGGGGAAGTTGAGGAAAAGTTGAAGATGCAAAAAAACATGGTGATGTTTCCTTGGGTGAAGGTGGAGGGAGTGTGGAGACACAAGGGCACAGATGGAAGATCTGGACTTGAATGGGAGGTATGCCTCATTTTTGGAATCTTCAGGAAAGCAAGTGCTATAGTCTAAATGTTTGTGTCCTCCCAAAATTCTTATGTTGAAATCCTAACCCTCACAGTGATGGTATTGAAAAATGGGGCATTTGGTAAGTGATTAGGTTATGAGGACAGAGCTCAGGTGGAGATTAGCGAAGGCCCCATAGAGCTCTCTTGCCCCTTCTGCCATGTGAGGTCATAGCAGAAAGATGGCTGGGTAGGAAGCCGGCCCTCGCCAGACACCGACTGTGCTGGTGCCTTGATCTTGGACTTCCCAGCTTCCAGAACTGTGAGAAATAAATTTCCGTTGCTTGTAAGCCACTGAGCCTGTAGTATTTTGTTATAGCAGCCTGAAGGGATTAATACAGGAGGTTAAGAACAGATAGAAGACAGGTTAGTTTATATAGAGATCTTTCCTGATAGCTTCAGTTTTCTCTGAGAAGTATGAGGTGTTCGCTGAAATTGTGAGAAACAGGAATGGAGCCAGGAAACTGGGAGGAATGAGGAACGTTTAAAACAGGAAAGAAAGATGATTAAGGAAAAGAACAAACGAGGAAGGAGCAGGAGTTACCTTCACTCTTAAATCTCTGCCTTGGAGGCGATCCCTGGCGAGGGGCCTGCTGGTGCGAGGGATCTGGGGCTCATCACTTCGCTCACAGCAGCAGCAACCCACCCCCAAGCGCGGAGCGACACCAGGGTCCTGACTGCGGAGCTGGGCTCGCTTTTCCAGGAAGGGAGCAGGGAGTTCAGTCTCCGCATCTCCCAGCCTGACAGTCAAGGACGCTGGGAGCTGCTGATTTTGAGCTCTGCATTAGAGACCATGCCCAGGGTGGTCCCCCACCTTCCTGGCAGGCGTCGCCTGGGCCTGCCAGCGCTTTTAGGTTGCTCCCCTCCACAGGTGCCTGAGGCTTAGCAAGGTCCCAAAGTCAGAGCCCAGGGCAGAGCTGAGAGCGGCTAGGATTGCTTTAACGGGGGTTAGAACTAATTATACATGAGGCAGGTTATTTACTGCATGACCGCTATGACTCTATTATCATGCACACTGTCAGTCGTCTGGTTAAGCTGTACTTGCGTGTGCCCGGGTTTTCTTGCCCAGAGTCATGTAACCAAACCATTTACCACAGCGCCCCCTAGTGGCCCAATGGCTCCACTGCCCCTTTTTTTTGAATATACCTGAGCATCAGCCCGAGAGGAAGTGCGGCTGCGCCTCCTAGTGCAGTCGCGAAGAAAAGCGACCAGTATTGGGACATGGGGAGACGCCTACCTACAGGGGTGGGTAAAGACCAGCCTTCCTCTTACCTGAGAAAAGATGCCGCCTCTGCCCACTAAGAGCCCCAGGCGTTTGCAGTCCTCATGGATTTGATTTACTTCTTCACGGGGAAGAGGCTTGCGGCTCACCTGTAAATATATTTTTAAAATGTTTTCTGTTTGGTATTTGAATGGTTAAATGCATTATTTCTAAGGGGAGGGGAACCCCTCAAGTAATGAATGCCCTTCTTTGATATCTCCTTCATCCCCCTGCCATAATTAAATAAAGCTGTTAATTGCTGGACTAGAGTTTTGGAAGGTGTCATTAAAAATATTTGTTTTTATTCCAATTCATCCCAAATCCCCAAAGACAAAATGAAGTTTCATGCAGATAGGCAGTAAATCCTGGTTTTGCTAATGGGTGCCTTGGGAGTTTGGTTCCTTAATAACTGAATTTGGAGTCTGTTTTATTTATGTGGAAATTCTCCTTGACCGTTCTCTTTGTTCTGCCCATGTAAATAGAGCTCATTTCAAAGTCCAGGAAATGTCTCAGAAGTTGCACAAGGCCCTCCCGCCAGTGTGCCCAGTGGCATTACCGTCCTCCCGGCTTCCTACCCACTTTCCTCTGGGCTTTCGCACTCATTTCCTTCTCCCCACCACCCCCTGGCCCAACTCTTTCCCCAAATCCTCCATTTCTTATGAGGTGTCAGGGTCTGAGAATAGAATAAGACTGGACCACCCAGAGATGTTTGCAGTGTTGTCTGTTTTAAAGCTTTAAGGTAAGGCCAATAATGTTCAAACTTTCAGATTATTGGATCACAGAGGACATGGAAGGGGGAAAGACTAGGATCTTTTCATTGGCCCCCAAATGCCATCACACATGCTTGCTTGCCTCAAGGTTCTCATCTATTGGAGAGAGAAGACAAATAATTTAGGGCTAAACTCTGAGAACTACAAAGAAGTTAAATATGATTCGAGGGACCAGGGGTCAGAAATGGCCAGGACCCCTGGAAAGGTTTCCTGAGGGGAAGTTAAGTTGGTGGGGCCTTCCCCAACATGACAGCTCTGGACAGGTGGAGTTTGTTTGGCCTAACCCAACCTTGGCCTGGGCCAGCACCCTTCTTGCTCTCTTGCTTAGTTATCCCTGCCTGGCCTGGACTGCTGTGACTAATTAAACACTATGTATTTATTCCTCAGGGAAAGCAGGGTCAGAAACTCTAATGAGGCAAAGCTATAGGGCAGCCTGCTGAGGCCTGTGTCCCAACCGCTTGATAATGAAGTGGTCATGTTGGTAATTAGACTTCTCGTTGGGTGTATAATGTAGTTTTGTGTTTATCTTTTTTGGTTTTTTTCTTTTTTTGGTGAATCTGCATTTAAAAAGTTATAAAAGTAGTCCAAGATTATCAGAAAAAAATTCAAACGATACAGCAGTGCATAAAGTAAAAACAGAAAATGTCCCCTCCCCCATTCTCCTCCTAGGGACACCTCCCATCAACAATTTGGTGTGAACCAGACACTTTTTCTATGCATGCAAATACATCTGTATGCATGTTTTAAAAAAGTAAGTCATATTTTATAATGTTCTGCAATTTTCTTTTAATAATTTACAGTGTATTTTGGATATCATTCCATGTCAGTATATTTGGAC